TTAATTTATGCATTGATGGTGATAGAGTTTTTGTTAAAAATACACGTGTAGGGATAGGACTAATGTTCGAAATAGGTCGGAAGACATGTGTCCCGATCAGCGAACAATTTCCTTTACACGTGTTTCGTTTCCTACGTCACCGACGTATCCCTATCCGTGCCAACGTTAACGAGATGAGAAAATGAGCAATTAACTTCGTCACCTAAGGGGAAACGACGCCCCAAGGATTCGAAAGATCGTTGTCTATCACGTGTAAGACACGTGTAGCCTGATTGGTCGTGCCACGAATGTAAATGAACCAAAGACGAAGTTTTAAGGGAGAAATTTCTCCAAATTTGAATTCTTGTATTTATCTAAAGTGATTAATTATTCAGGCGTAGGTGTTACAATAATACATACTTTTTATTTATCTCTATTCCTTCTATCACAACATTGTCTTACATGACAAACTCTCGGGATCGTTAAACCTGTACTGTAACTACAATGAAACATAGCCAGAGCCCCTGAGGGTTAAATTTGAACTCTTCGAACTTACCTCCTGGTATTGACTTTTGTATCAGGAGCACACGATGCCAAAGGAGGTGTTCTCGGAATACTTCCTCTTTCGTCACGTTCTCCTGATAGCAGGAGCCGTAATCCTGTTAAATGCAGAAGTTCTCCATCGAAATATATTAATACGCATGCAATGCATTCTTGTAAGACGTTCTCTTATGCAACAATTACGTACCAAAGTAACACACCTCCAGCAGACAATTCACTAGCCGACCGATTCTTCCCACGAGAGCGGTCGCAGCTCTCTCGAACGGAGTCGATTAAAAGCGGGACCGTCGCGATCTCGATGCATCGGTCCAGTATGCCTCGATAAAGCGAAACAACAAAATCCACTTACCCGTGTCGCGAGCGCAGGATCCGCGGAACGCTTCGCAGCATCTCTCGCTCGACGCCATAATTCATTCCGCGGATGGTAATTAACCGTTTCGTAACGTACAAGGAACATGGTTCGTCTGGGACGCGTCGCATCGTCTCATAATCTCCGATCGACGTGGATTCCAATAAGCCGGTAGCAGCCTGTAAATCTACCAAATAATAAAATAAATCGTCGACCGTCGCGAAGGGGCTAGTAACCGATCCTCGGATAAGGGGAAAGCTTGAAGATATATCGGGGGAGGGGTCGAAACAGCGGAGCAGGGAGATAGAGACGAAGGGTGGTGGATAGGAAATGGTTAGATTTATTGCGTTGACCGAGGTGTTCCATCTTGTTTTAATTACCGAGGTCGCGATGCTCGCTTCGGCCTTTGTGCTCCGTTCGTTTCGGCGTTTGTTCGTTCCTTTCCCTTTTTTCTTCCCCTCGTTCTCCCGGGAACGGGATAGATTGAATGCGCGTGTGTTTAAACGTGAACGCGGTTTCTCATTTGACGGAGCCTTGTTTCTCGGTGAACACCGATTTCTACCGATACAGGCGATCCGTTCGGCACGATGCAATACGACGATAACGCGGATTTGTCTTTGGTTAAACGAACAGGGACACTGAGAAGGAAGAGAATTTTACAAAAGATTCGTAAGATACAGTCAGTCCCGTAAGTATTCGTACATGAATATATTTATAATATATAATGAATATATATATTCATAATGAAAAATTTATTTGGAAAGATCACATCTATCATTTAATTTAGATAAACTTCTATAATTATACTAATAACTCTAGATAGTATATCTGAGAATATTAATGGAGCAAATTTTGCCGACGACTCCGACGAAATCTGACTCGGAGATCCTTGACACGTGTCTCGCCGTGCGCTTCGCACTTTTTTGCACTTTCTCATGCTTGCATTTACAATATGGCACTCTTCTTCTTGTTGCCGTTTAACCGAAACGACGGTGTCCCGTAGGAAGTTCGTCGTGTCCGACGTCTGAACCCCGCGACGACATTCCACGACCGCAGCGATATTTTCGTTGGTCGCTGCCGGCCAAACTGCATTTCGTCAGGCGAATGCAGATAGGCCATCGCTCCGTGAACATAAATCAGTCTGTTCCGTTTCTTCTGTCGCTCGCATGATTTGTGTGTTTTGTTACGCAATCGTGCATATGCTGGCTAGACATGGAAAAACCACGAGCAGGAAACCACGTGAGGGACACGTGAGCCTTCGAGAAACGGTGCGACGGTGACGGATTTCCTGGCTCTCTTTTTTCCGTAAATACTTTCCACGAGGATGACTTCGCTGGTTTCGAAAACGAAGCAATCGTATTCCTCTTCTTCGTCAACGGAAATGTAATTTTACAAGTGACAAGTTATGAATATATAATTTTTTCAACGAACGCATAGATTCGACGATTACGTTGGTCATCGTGGCAGAAGCGTAACTCGATGTAATTGCTATCAGCATCGACGAGGAAGGGACCGTCTGTAATGGTGACGAATAAGGGAACGAAGCACCAAACGCACGGTTAGTAAAGTAAAATTAATATTCATATTCACGGTCGGATCATTTGTTCCCCTGGTGCAATATCAATAACCTGACCCTAGCAGTTATCCCCCTCGCACGGATGGCACTCGCGAGAAGGGGACGTACTCGGTATTTAATTACCGCGAATCGAGGGGTGATCCACGTACAAGTGTACGGCGGTTTCGTTATAAATTGTTTAATGTTCTCGCAGACGATGGCGAATTCTTGCTTAAAGATTTGCTTGGAAACGAACAATTCCTTGCTATTATAACGGTAATCTGAATTCATATAAAAATAATGAATCCTTCCACTCCAGTTAAATACTCTAATGTTTCGATTCCAATCGCAGCTGAACATATAATAATACCGTGCTCGAACATCTCCCCTTATCTTAACCGCATAACTTGGACATCAAAACGCCATCGGGCGGTGAATATCATCGGATGAATAGAGCCAGAGAAAGATCGAGGCGATCGAAGAGATCCGAGAGTCTCGTGTGGACCTCGATCGAATCGTATCGTCGCGGTCTCGATGACATAGTGACGCCGTGCTCGACAAAGACCGAAAAAACGTCTAGGAATGCCGACGAGCATATTTCGACTGTGTCACCTGAGGGAGACGGCCATCCTTTCTCTTCCTCTCTCCGTTCGGTCCTTCTGTTTGGGAACCGAGTAGCTCTCCCCTGTCTGACCTGAAATATCAAATATTAATTAACCCCAACGAATCATTTCGATATTAATTCGTTGTTTGTATTCGAAGTTTGCGCATTGGAATCGAAGTGTCTCATTTCAGTGTCATCTTACGAAAATTTACCACTTACAAATATAAAATACACAATGTTGTCTGGTTGTACACTGGTAAAATAACCTGAAAATTATCACGAAGAAACTGGCACACGTGTTGTCACCAAGTCGTCAGTCGTTAATACAAGAGACGCTTTGGAGTACAAAGGGTTGGAGTAGCGATTCAGAATGATCGCCGACTGCGGCTGGAAGGAGAGTTTCACTTGTTCTCCTCCTTGGGCAGCCATCGTAGACGTTCCCCGTCGTTGTCTACCTGCAGTAACACTTTTAGGTCGGACCTGGCCTCGGCATCGAAGGCATCTCTGCCCTTGTGTTCCCACGGGCTCGAACCTTTGACGTACGATGTCCCGGGTACGCGGTACACGACGTCCACCTTCCCGATATCGTAGTCCGCCCCTTCGTGTCTTCGTCTCCTTTTTTTACCTTCGTCGGGGTCCACGGTCCTCTTTTTGTTCGCGTGCAATCGCAGAAAACCGGTAGCCGGCGGGAGCTTTTAAAAGAACAGCGACTTCCGGATCGTGCGACGTTTTCGGGGAACGGTCGGCTTTTAAACGGCAGGAATTGGCAGACGACAGCCAATGATAGGCACCATTCTTTTTCATAATCTGTTCCAATTATTAAGAGGAATTGGTCACCCACGTGATCACACTTCATAGGAAAAAATGAGCATTTCTTTTCATAAGTAAGGATAATATAAAATAAAACGAGATTGATTTGACGTCTATTGTTCACGGGGAATACCACATTCCCTTCCGTCTTTTACACGCAATTTTTGGAATAACGTCGTCAAGTTACCCCGAAACAATGGATTCGGTGTCTAGCGAACGACCAGCGTAATTTGTTTATTTGCGAGCAGCCGGAACGCATCGGAATAACGATTAGGCGTGTGCACCCGGCGCACGTGTTCGATCCGTCGCGGACCCCTGCTACTCAGTTTTCAAGTCACGTCTCATTTGCGCCGTTCAATGTATCGTCGAGGGTGCGCCGAGGCATTAAAATCCGCCACCCGAATAAGGGCAGGTGCATCGTGATTCGTAAAAATCACGGTCACGGTGCGCGCTTCGAAACGATTCGATGAAAGGCGTTTTTACGGCTGTCACCAGAACGTTGCTTGCATCTTCATTTTTTTCCGTTTTAGGCCACCTTCACGAGAATGTTAAAGACACCAGCCTAATTGCTGACGATCGATTCAAATGTTTCATTCATAAGGAAGTGTGTTTTTGATTACCAAATGTAAATGAATGAAACCTCGAATTAATCTCTGCGAAATTATTCCAAAATAATGGAATCTTGGAAACTGTGCCGCGAAGGTTATGAACCGCTGCAGTTCGCCAATAGAATAAGGCGGCCAGGAACGTGTCTATTCGAGCAAAGGTTGGCCTTTCTTCTATCTCTCGCCGTGCGCCAAGGAGCCGGCAAGCGCCCGTGGAATGTCTTCATTAAAATACCCGCGCTCATCATTTATGCAAAGCAAAAACACAACGAGGCAAGTTTCGAACGAGATCACCGTCTCCGACGATATCCGCGCTAGCTAGTCGGAGTCTAGCGTTCAGTTTTTAATTTCCGCATTGTTTCCCGCGGCGTTTCGCGATTTAGCAGCGTTCCAGTTACGTGCCTCTGCTTCAGCCGTGAATGCTCCCGATGCGCGGTCATCTATTAACCCTTTCAGACTCGAATTATATTTTTTTTATTACAACTTGGAGAAATAAAGTATTATTTAAAATAATTGTTGTTTTCCTTCTTGTTACAGAATCCTGCCAAAATAATCGCAGCACTTGCACGAGCCGGAAGCAATCACCAGGCGCCCGTGACTCGTTCGCGCATTCATAATTAAGTAGAAAGTTAAAGGTATGACGTCTTGTAAGCTTGTCGCGTTTGTCATTGCCGGCATCAATCACGAGGACCGAATTCCGATGTCTTGTGCGTGGCATCGGTATTGTAAATCTCAAGTGTAGATGCGTTACATTTTTTTTACGCGCTTACACGTCTTGAAATTTGTCGCGTCCGACCCCAGCTTCGACGTTTCGCGAATGTTGCAGTTTTCATCTCGTTAACTAAGTAGCTCCCAAACTGTTACATTTCTTATTTCTCAATCTGGCAATTAATCGCGTTAATCCAGCTAATCCAACGACCAGTAAAAATCGCAATGGTCGAAATTGCGATGGGGGTACACCCCACCTTCGAGTCGCGGAGGGAGCTGAAAATCCATAACCACGAGCCGGGCAGTGTCGTCGTGGATCGCGACTCGATGGAATGCTCGAATCATGCTCCCTAATTCACCGATGATCCCAGCTTTGTCCAGCACACAGGGACAGCGATCGGGGACGATCCGTCCCGCGACACACGAGGCATCCCGCGGAGCAGGTAGCTACGGGGAGACTTTCTGTCAGCGTGGCGCATTATCTAGCGGTTTATCTGCGCCTATGAGGCTCCCTGCTCCCACACACGCTCGTCGTGCTTATGTACACGTCGTTTCCTTATGTAACGATACAACAGGTACACAACCACCCCGGGATTCCGTCCACGGCTGGGGACTGTTGTCTCTCTATTTCCCTGTTCATAAATTCATCTCGTGGGAGACCGCTGGCCAACTTGCGTGGGGTCTGCGCGAAGATGAAGGTCAACGGATTCTTTACCCCGAACAAGGAACACCGTCGAACCGTCGAGGCGTTTATCAGCGATTGACGAGCGCTCGGGAACGCCGCGGTTTACGCTCGAAGCATGATTCGAGCGTTTGCTGGCGGCTTGCGTTTGAATTAGCGTCGGCTTCAGGCTGGAAGGAAGAGGCAATCGCAGTGATCGATAACCTTTTTCGGAGGGAGTTACGTCGCATGTGTCTCTGAGTATTTTAGTAGGTCCTCGACTTCGTGAGGAGGGGCTTAAAAAGAAATAAACGGGTGGAATATTGGAGGGATCGTGGAACGTAGTAGTTGTGAAATCGAGCACACGGCGAGTCCTCAGGGTCTGTAGCATGCGAATATGCAGCTACGGTACGGGCTTAGCAACCCCGGGGTACCCCAGCTAGATGGGGGCCAGTGGGCCCCAGCAGACATGAACAAAACAAAGCAGACGTGAGTCAAAATTGCACATCTAAAAAGAAAAAACCAAGCAACCAAGCACGCGGCAACTTCCCATTTTGATTTTTGTCAAGTTAAATATCGATGCATAAAATATTGACTAATAATGACTTTCAACAAACGACTTCAAATAAACGACTTTCAAGTCGTTTCAGCTCCCCTTATTCTCTCGTGCGAACAAGGGCTACCTGCTCCAAACGCTCAGAACTGGAGCACGGCTATCTAGATTAACCGTCTCTTATTTTTAGCGTTCCAGATTCCTCCCGCAACAATGAACAGTTTTGCATACACGTTGGAATGAACAATCCTTCGCCAACGTTCCACCGTCCACTCGAAATGGTTAATTAATGGTGGCTTAATAGTGCCGGCTGTAATTTCGACGAACGAGTGACTCGCATTCGCACATTTCGCGCACGCTTCGAATTGGCAACGAGTCAAGGAACGTCGAACGCATTTGAACGCACGGCACACGGTGCACTTTAAGTGCGCATAGCGACGCGGGTAAAACAATGCGACGCAAATTGTGCGAAATACTTGTAAAAGTTTAAATTGCTCGTTGCTTCGCAGGTTTTCATCTAAGCATCCATAAGATTCTAGGATCCCATCAGCCACCTATTTCGTTAGCTCTCCTATATGTTCTTCAATCTCGCCCATATCTGTTTCACTATTTCTCCCAACAAGATCCGCATATTTCTCCGGGGTAACCTACGCCACCCTTTCCCCCAGAGCTCTCCAGTCTCACCTCTTCTCGGTACGCGTAGCTCGGTCGCAAAGTAGCTCAGAGAAGACGGAAAGCGACCCTCCCGCGGAGCGCATACCGCTCGGGCGAAGTAGTGCAAACAGAAGCTGAAGTATCAGCACGCCCGGCACGCTACTTGCGCGTTGAATGCAGCCAGAGGGAACTGGAACATCGCGCTGGCTCCCGATCCGTGCTCGAGCGCGAACGCGAACCGCACGCACACACAAACGAGTCCGATCGGTTCGCGCAACAACCGTCGACGAAGGAATCGGGGAGAAAGAGACGCTGGTACCCGGATCGCGAGCTACCCGGGCTATGCAACGGTGAAATTCCGTCGACTTGTGGTGTCACTCGCTGAATTCCGTTTCGGCCTACGAGAGACGACCGTCCGATTTCCTGCCTCCCCCGTCCGCGTCTTCCTTTTTCGCTCGCGGATACCTTTAACGAGGACCGCTGATCGATGCGTCGGAACCTCGTATCTGGTGGTGCCCTGCCGTTCGATCGAGATGCAGATAGGGTTCAGCGCGTTGCCAATCGGCTCTTCCTTTTGATCTAGGCCCGAGGAACGCGAGGCTTTTCTATTCTCGTGCCCGCTAGACAAGGCAGTTTGCTTCGATCGCGTTCGAATCGACGGAAAGCCGCGGGGAAATCGATTTCTAAACTGAGCTCTTCGTTGGTAACGATTTATTGTTGACCAACTTGGGGAATGTGTGGATCTAGGAACACTCGGAGGGATAGTCGAGTATTTTTTAACTATTCTTAAAAATTTCTGCTAGGATTAAATATTATTTCAACGACATCAACTTCGTCAAAATTCATAAATTTCATTTATTTACAAATTTCGGGGATGAACTGTTTCTAAATGATTGAATTGGCACGCGTGTCTTGTCCTTTGGTTAGTGTTTAGGGATTCCTACTTTGATATCTTTCGCCAGAGTTTCGTGAAAGGGCTCCAGCTCTCCTGGACTCGATGTTTACGATTCTGAGGGCTGCAAGGGTTGGCCATTGCGTGTCAAGACAGGCCAGCCATCGATTCGGCGCGAAGTAGTAGCCGATTCTATCTGGTTTAATCGGTAACTGATCGCATGCAAATCCGCGACGTTTCTCGCACGGGGGACGAGTCTCGCGGGGAATTAAAAACAAAAAAAAAAAGAAAGCGAGGGAGAGAAGAAAAGAGAAGAAATGTTCCCTTGGTTCTCGACCAAAGCGAGAGTGGTGATCAGCTGCGCGAGATAAAATCTTTACTTCTTTCCCGCTGTCCCTTGCGCCGACCCACGATCTCAATACACGCTCGCTCGTTCTTTCAGCCAGGCCGACAGCCAGCTCGGTCACGATCACAGACGAAACCGAGCTTGTAATTGTCTCGTAAATTCCTGGTATCGGTTTAATAGAATATAATAAAAACGCTCGGTCGGCCGATGAATTCGAGAAATTTGTTTCTTTCCCCGGTGATACGTTGCCAAGTACGTTTATAATGTATCCTCCTGGAGTAAATGGGGCAACCGGTGGCCGAATAAAGCGATAGAATCGATCTTTAACACTTTGCCCGCATGCTTTCGTGTTGAGCCTCGCTTAGGGCTGTCGTCGACGAATGTCACGGGAATGTTAACGACACCAGAGCTTCCAAATTCGGTCAGAAATCGGTTGGAATTAGCTCGGGAACGATTAACGTGGAAGCATCGGCCATGGACACCTTCGAGGCTTTCTTCTCCCTCGAAAACGCTACTCCACTTTTTTTTTTTTTGGTTCCTCGAATCAACGATCCTTAATTTCTCCTTGATGATACTCGAGGTGATCTTTATGTTAATATCTCGAGGTGGGTTTTTTCCTGATATAAAATGGTGACCTTGTCGAGATGAAAGCAGTGGCAGAGCGGGTATGAATAGCGTTTGTATTATTACGTGGTAAATTTACTCAGATGTTCCGGTGGCGTTCATCCGCGGTATAAATATTCGCGCACGCTAGCGAGACATCGCAGAATTCGAAGTCTAGAACGAAGTCGTGAAATCGTTGGCGTGCGTGGTGATCACGATGACAGTAAGTGCTGGCATTGTCCTAGTGAAAATTAATACTTATTTATTAAAGGTTCATTCGTCGATGCATTCTCTAAAATCAGAATTCGCTATTCATTCACACAGATAAATGCCTTGATTAACTACATGAATCGAAATTGATAAGATTTTATTATACCGCGTTCACCCACTAATGTATGCAAATTTCTGTTTCAGATACTCCAGGCAATAAGAGTCACGACTGTCATCGCAGTAGTGCTACTGTACGTGGCACGACAGAAGGATGATTTCGAATACGAACCAATCAAAGTTTAAATTTTATTTAAATGTACCGAATCGCTTCGTTAAATGTAGAATAAATTGATCGTGTATGCAAAATTTTACTGTTTACATTGTAATCGTTCATTTCTAACGAATTTCCAAAGGGTTGAAATGATTTAACTTCGTTGGAGTTCATATTGCACAATGCCGTTACAAACAAATGCTCCAACTATTCCATTCTGCCTTCAATTGCCCCGACTACTCTGATATAAGAATGCTTCGATCTCCCCTCTACGCTCTCTTTCATGTTCAACTGCACCAACTATTCTAATTTAGTCAGGGCGCTCCTATCGACAACGATACAAACGAAAATCGAATAAAAGCCCGACGTGTATTATTATTATGCTGATTGCAAAATATAAATCCACTGTTGGAATATTCATTGAACCAAAATTCCGAAGGATTAAATGTAATATAAATTATATACTGACTACTCTTATTTATACGGGAAAGCGAAGAACGTAAGTCGTATTAAATATTCATTCCTGAAAACGGATATTAATGTTGCTGTTGCCGATAGAAGTGGCGAGATAAGGATACGACTCGAGAGGAGACACGTTTGCTTCCTTTTAATCGCGAAATCGTATATCAACGTCACGATGAACGAAGGGCGCTGAAATAGCGCGACATTGAAGGTTTGCACGCGGATGGACATACGGTATTCGTAACATTGTATGCATATTAGACAGCTGGGCAATGGGCGAAGAAACATACCCTTCATAGTGGTCGACATTGGTCTTGTACCTTGGAAGTCTTCCGAGTTTCAGGCTCGCGAGACATCTGGATCCTGCGACCGTTTATCTACATTCGGCGCACCTTGGAGTTTTAATGAACGCAGGAGACGCACTGCGAACATTTTCCTGAAACAATAAAAATGTATGCATCGCAAGTTATATACACAAATTTGTTTGTGAGGAAGGCAACACCGAGATACATCGTAAATTCAATGGTATATAATATATAATAATTAATATATTAACGATGAGTACTAGTGACCAATAAAGGGTTGAATAATTGTGTTTATAAAAGAGAACTCGTCTCTGTTGCTGCAGAAAGAGGGAAACAATTAATTCGTATACCCGAGTAAACAAATAATCGAGAAGGAGGCTCGATGCGGCCTCTCCAAACTACGGAATTACCTGACTAAATGAAATCCAACTTGGAGGGCAGTCCGCTTAATAACAGAAATCTCGAGGGTGCCGATTTAGCTTACCCCGTCGCACAGAACGGAAGAAAGAACGAAAACCACCGACTCCCTACCCTCGCGGGGTGGCCCCCTCTCGTTCCACACCCTCACTCTTTCTCTGTCGCTCTTCTCGTCGTCAATTATTATCGTCTTTCACGGCTTCGTAGGGCTGACGCCGACGTCGCAGGCGCCCCACGATTGGGCGTCGGAGCGCTCGACGTCGCCATGGAGACCCGACCCCCTTTCGACGAGGGGTTGGCCAAGGTGGGGACGAATAACTCGCGAAAACACGTAAATTAAACGCACTATGGGGGTTGATGGGGCGGAATGGGGCCGAGTGGGTGTCTCAGACCGTGAAACATAGCCGTCATAAGCGGATATTAAACCGTGCTTCCGGGGTCATGGCTGGTCCCGGGGGCTCGTAAAAACGCCGGCGGAAAAATCCTCGCTTCCTTTCGACGAATGCCGGGATCCATCGATGCGGACGGGACGACGTGTAAATGAAATTGCTCCCTATCGGTAGCGGGATTGCTGTCTCGAACATTTTGTCAATTACTGGAAGGGTCGACGATGCTTTCTTTTTATGCATCTGTATCTCGCTGGCTCGTCCTCTCTTCGCGTCGATCCTCTGTTTCCTCGGTGCACTCCTCGGTGCAACATTTTTTTATTAATTTCATCGCCGTATTACCGTATCCAACTTCTCCATGAACTTCTCGCTATACCTCTTCCAAGCAATCGACACCGATCTTCTCCAGAATCGAACCGAACCAGCTTCGATTAACCCATAATTCAATAGGGTCGACCGCAACAAAAACGCCGGAATTTTCAATAATTTACTCCGATAAGAAAATCTCGTCTCGAACCTCCGCGGTGTCCTCGCATCGGTGGAATCGTTCCGTGTATCGATTACGCGTCCGGCGAAGGGTGTCCGAGGTAAAATAAAATAAGAATATAAACGCAGAATGGTGTATAAAGACGAACGTGGAGGGAAGACGGAGGTCCTGAGCGCGCAGAAGCGTCCCGAAGTCGCGCGACAACTTTCCCTATATGCGTTATTTCGTGACCGTCGGTTTTTCTGAGTATTGCGCGCGCCGGTACGCCGAGGTATGAAACCGCGCCAATTACCTTGTCAATTACCTCGATTGATGGTCACCGCCATATTGATTTCACAAGCAATCAATGGTTGTGCTGCGTTTTCCTAGTAGATCCGCGGCCACGGACGTATCCTCGGCTCGGAGTGAGCAATAATTCTTGCTTTTGCCAACGGATGCCGAAGACGCCTGCTATCGAACCGATCGGACCAGTAATCCCAAGTATTTCTCACTCGTACTCGCTCGGGATACCGATTCCGCGTATCCAGCCAAAGATTTAGTGTCTCATAAGTCACCATCGAAAGTCGCGAATCGCGCGAGACAAAAAAAAAACTTTATCGACACCGTACGAGACTATCTTACCGTAGGGATCTACTTACCGGTGTCTTATTAGCTGGCCAGGTTCGTCTCGATTAAACGACGCGGGGACCCTTTCTTGCTCGGCTGTCGCGATCGCGCAGTTCCCTCTTTCGCGGATATGGGCCAGCCATCGTAGTAGCGAACGGAGTGATTCTGGATGAACAAGGTAAGGTAGAGGCAACTGTCTTTTTGTCTCGAGGTTCCTCTAATGGTGTTGTTGGCATCATCAGTAATATAGAACCCAAGAGCAACACTCCTTGCAATTGCTCGTGACTAGAGTTTTACTGACCGGTAAAATGAAGTACTTTGCAAGTAATGCTTGGTAATGATGAACATTCAGTCCTCAGGGGCTGTAGTTACGTTTGAGCGTAGCTACAGTACGGGTGTATCGATCCCGAGGTACCCGAGCTATAGGGGGGCTACCAGGTCCCCACAGATACGAGATTTAAGAGATACTGCAAAACAGTACTAAAACAATGCAGGAGTCATGTAAGACAAAGTAACGAGAATAAGAATGGAAGTATTATTTAAGAAGAACTTTCAGTGTAGTATTGCATATGGTTACGCACTTTAATAAATAACGGAACGGAACGGATGAACACTGAGACTAAACGTCAAAACTGAAGTCCTCGACGCATACGGCCGCCATCTTTAGCTTCCGTCTTGCGTTCCAGTTGCGACCGGTTCTGTCGCGAACTGCTCCAATGTTCCCCAAACTTTCCCAAAGCACCGGTTGCGTCAGCGGTGAACGTATGGCGAGGAAATTATTTCCTTAACGAGGTATAATGTCGCGCGTTGAAAGTGTCAACTTTTCGCTCGGGCACAGGTGTCCTTTCGGTAACGGTGAACGCGGTCTTGCATAGATTACCGTCCCTGAGCCGTCGTCTCCCCGAGAAGGATTGACAAGTGGTGCAACGGGCCCCTGCGGCAGCTGACTGCCACCGAATCAAAGCGTGCAAGGTGTCTCGACATTGTCACGCTCGTTAGAAGTACAAATGCGCCGAGAGCCGGCTCTGATATTTACTTCTCGTCGATCGCAATCTCGAAAGGTCCTTTCGCGGCGCTGATCAGAAGCATGCCGATGCTCGGAGGTGCGTGGTTATCCTTTTTTGATAACGCTTCGGGTACCGAATGTTTTTTTAATCGGCGACGGCTGTCGCGAATTCCCGCGTCGAGATAAAAGTTCGCGCGTGTGTTGATCCGCTCGTCCATTGCGATATCAATATGGATCGCGGGCCAATAGAAGTCGAGACTCGACGATGACAGAAAGGTTTTCGTGATTCGATACGGTCCTAAGTGGTTCGATATGGAGATTACCCGTAATTCGCAGACGATCCTTAACCCTTTCAGACCTGAATCACTTTTTTCATCTCGTACTAATGTAACTTAATTTTTAGAATTACATAAAAAAAATCCTAGTGTAGTTTTCGCCCTGAACGATAATCTCGGTAACTTTTAAATTTTGTGTCTTCAACTGTGGACGCCAGGTTTGATAGGGTTAACGACATGCGTGTAATTTGGTGAAGTTGATCTGTTGCCTGAGATTGGACAGAAAACAAAAATGAACGCTCGAGCGGTCTTTTTTCCCCCATCGAACGTGCATGCTCCCTGCATCGCATCAATTTCTCTCCCGAAATCGCATTACGCGTACACACGGCGTCGGAGCCCGCATAAAGCGAGGAAACGCCGACCGTGGTACGCCGTCGACGATAACAAATATTAAATCGTCAACGTACAAGAAGACTAATTTGAGACGTCGAGGAATCGACGCCGCCGCGCACCGGCGACACGGGCCCCCGCCGTACTTCTTGTGTCGGTTGGAAAGTTTCGGCATTACCAGAGACGGAATGCGTGTAACCGCTGCCCTTTAACTTCCCGTAGGACCGCGAGCTTTAACGAACCGGCAGCGTAAAGTTCGCCAGGGGCCCGTGGACACGCTGACAACGCGAACCCGTACCATGTGGTCAATGCACGACCGTGGCCCACGGCCGTTTAACGTTCCCCGTGGATACACGAACATTCCACAGTTATTTCGAATACGGTCCCGCGGGCCGTTTTTACGTCAACGTAACTCATGGCACGACGCCGATTTCGGCTCCCGCGCGCGTGTCACGGGCGTTCATATTTTCCCCGTCGCGGCAAAACGCAAACGTCGTCGCCCGCTGCGCGTCACCTCGTTTCGAATCTTTATAGTTTCTTTATTGCCCGTCTTCTCGCGGGGTTCGGTCGAAGTCACCGCTACCAGACGCTATCGATGCCCTTAGACTCGCTTTGAACCTCGTTTGTACGTCGACGAAGCCTGGAATCCTCTCCGTTAACGAGGATTCCGGCAGTTGGCAGCGGTTAAGATTACTGCTCCGAGATGCTGATACGGTGGTAGCAAGTTATTAAGAACCAGGTGGTTCTAGTATGAGGAGGGT